GGAAAAAAAAGAAAGTGACATTTTCTATTAAATTTAGATTGTTCTTCTAATTATTATTGTCGTATATAATAGAAAATACAAACAAACAAACAAAAAAACAAACAACAACAAAAAGAATATATATCATTATTTTTGCACTGTGAAGACTCAAAAGAGAAACTTATCTGAATCAATCTACACTATTTGAAATATCTTTGCTCAAAAATTTAGAAAAAGGGCACCATTTCTTTTCGAAAGATAGTTGTGCGCATTTTGATTTGGATAAAGCWATTTTTCTTTCTAAATCAAATTTAGCTTTTGCGTGCTTGAGAAAAGTTTGGAAGGTATAACATTCCTCACTTATAAAAGCATAAACATGTTTTGCTTTGCAATCAAAATTAAATGATTTATCAAAATATTTTTTTGATGTTGGTTAGATAACCATACATTATCAATGCTGTAGTGATTTCAAATTCAACTGTAGGAGTAATTTCTAGCCACCATGCTTTAAATTTTTTCCAAAAAGATTGAGCCCTTTTACAAAAAATAAAGAAGTGCTTAGAAGTATGTTTTTCACGATCAGTACAAAACGGACAAATATCGTTTTCAGTGACGCTTTCAAATGTTTGTCTCCGAGAAGAAAATTGACATACAAAAATACCGCAACCATACTACTACACTATTCAGATATAAGTGATTTTGAAAATAAAAACATTTCCTTGATATACACTTTAAGGTGATTCAACCCAATATTTTTGCATGAGCAGCTTCCAACTTTGAACCTCCCATGCCTTACGACATTGATTCCGATTTCATAGCCACTAAGACATATGTTACTTATAGACTATAAATCTAGCCCTCAACTGCATTTAATAGCGAAATGCTTTATGCTGCCTATACCTTGAGTGTTTGTCTTCCTCTGGGTGCAGTTTCATTAAAATCTATAAGACGAATTTGGGGATATTTGGGGATATCTAAATAGGTTGCTATCAATAGATGTCACTTCCGGTAATACCTCTTTTTTGATGGCTTGTAGAATCCCGGAGGTTGTTTTGATCTCTTGTTTTCTGGTTTGATGTCATGAAAATAGTCAAATACAACAGTTTGAGGACTTATTTTGATATGTTTTGACTTAGCATCCGCTAGTTGCCCCCCAGTCAACCACTTGTTTGCCCCCCAGTCAACTCCAAAAAGTCCTGTGATTGATAGTAAGCAATAAGAGTATAATTTATGTCAAAACTAGACAATGGACTTCCTGTAGCCAAAATTACTACTTCTGGGGTTTCTATTTACAAAAAAACACTGCTCATTCTATTGCCATATGCCCCTAATACTTCATTGAAAAATTAGAGGGTAATCTAGTAACATGTTCTTTACAAAACTGAAAATATATTTCTCATAGTTTTATGAACACTTTCACAAAAACTACGATCATGCAACATGATTGAGAGACTTGAGAATGGAGTGTTGTAGTTGGGTCTATAAAATGGGTTCAGTAATGGGGGTGTCGGCATTGAGTGGCATACATAATTTATGCATAAACTTTTATTATGGGTTGTCATTCACTCCCTTGGTAACTGTCTCTGTTTTCACAACATCAACCTCTACCTACAAAAAACAACCACAAGCTACAAAAAATGTTAAGAGGGTATGAACAATGGTGTGATAGGTCACAGGCTCAGCGAGTTTATACAACATAGTTCACTCAATATCTAACATTCCTGTTTCTGTCATTCAGTGAAAGTTTTGACCAAAACCTAAACCAACTTGACTTATAAATAAGTTGGGGAGTGACTGCAGCAAACTACATGAAATTTAAGGGAGAAAAATTCAAATCATGCATAATTAGCTACATTCAATAGGACATGTGTCAAATATCTTGTTTGAACTATGGGGCTTGTCTTTTGATTCTTAATCAGACTGATCCCTTCGCTTCAGTTCCTAATTATTCATTGTAAGTTAATATTCATGGTTACCTTCATGGTTTGTTGCAGTCACTCTAGTTCATCTCCTGTTCATGTTGTTTTTATGTCGTACATGATTTTATTGATTGATCGTATGATAATTAGTAATAGACATACCAGCAAGCCAGCAAACCCTTCCTTACCCCTCCCCCCATTGTACAATTTGTTCCATTTGACTATTGAGAAACAAAAATATTGACACAAGGGGGGAGGGGTGAAACTACACATACCAAACTTTACATTCGTTTGAGGCATGCTGCAAAGCACTTGGTAGAGTGGAAACAATAGTTTTTTTTTTTTCAAATTTCCAAGAATTTGTTCAATTTGTTAAATTGATGAACAATGGACAGGAAAGGTATTTTGCTCATTGTATGATAATGAGTTTGAAAAACTGCTGATACTTTGTCGTGGTTTTGTTGTTTGCACTCTACACATTCCCTAGCGAACTTAACTTTCAAATTGGAATGAAAGAAAATTATACTGAATATATCTCAGGATGGACTGGAATTATGAAATACCAAATTCCAGGGAAAAAAGGCAATATTCATACAAACAAGAATGAAAATAGATTGTTGGTGATTTCAAAACTTCATTGATCGTAACTTTAATAAATYATAAAATAGAAAACATCTGATTGAATTCTCCTGAGTCCAATAAATTATGAAAATGCTCTAGCAGCTTAGCCTACAGCTATAGGATTAGTCACGCTTTGCTAGCATGCCTCAAATGAATGATCACAATCACAATCACCACACCAACACAACACACCTGAGTCGTCTGTTGTCCAGCATTTATTATGAGAGATAAAGTTCAACCCAGTTGTAATTGACCAACAAGAGTGATTTTACTTCGAGTCAATTAGTCTATGCTGTTTGGCATTCATGTTATATTTTCCGTCATGCTAACATGACAGTACACAAGTCTCCCAAAAGCATTCTAAACAACTGCTTTTTAAACCTTTATTTGGCTGCAAGATTCTGCTTGAAGTAAAATCACTCTATATTTTGAAATGAAAATAAAAAAGTCAAAAAACAAACTTTTATGGAACAAAGATCAAAGATTTCATGAGAATTTGACATGTTGCTTAAAATACTCCATTCGAAACTGTGTACCAGAAGATAAGGACTTTGGAAAAAAGCAAACAATTTGAAATTTAATAGCACTTGTTTTTGCACTTTGCAATAAATAAAAAGATTGTGGTCTATTACAACTGGGTTGAACTAATAATATTGGGAGGGGAGGGGATGAACTTTAACTGCAGGGGGAGGGGATTACTCATATCGGGGGGAGGGGACAAAAAGTGTGGGGGGAGGGGACTACTCGTATTGGGGGGAGGGGAGAAATGTAATTGGGTGGGAGGGATACTTGTATTGGGGGGAGGAGGGATTGAATTTATTATTGATTTTTTTTTGTGCCTTAGAGATTTTCAGATGAGCAAGGAACATGGGATTTTTTGGTAAGGTTGCAGAATTGGAGTTTGAAATTTTTCACTTGTGCTTTTTTCAGTCTTAGAAGAAGAATGAAGATGATGACTGACTGACTTGGTGGTAAGTTGTTGTTTTTGACTTAGAATTTTTCCACTTCTTTCTGGAGTTGTAAAAATTGTCTTGTTATGCATGTTGTGTTTAAAAATAAAGGCTCACTTTGGACTTGGTGGAGTTCCTGTGTTTTTTAATGAATTCCATCTTTACCCTCTCCACGCCCTTTTTGGACTTGTAAAAAAAATTACCTCCCCGAGGTCCCACCAGCACCAAGTGTCACTACCCCGGTAGACCAGGACCACGCAGTACTTACTGTCCCGACAAGAGCCATCTTATGAAACCATAACCAGGTGGTTGCTCTGATGGTGAACACTGTCGATAAGGATATCAGACTCTGAACTCCCTACAGACTCATGAGAGTACCTTGATGGCAAGCCAGCCTTTGTACTGTGAAGATCAGTGCAAGTAATAGACTTATAAGATAACCACACCTCACTACCCATAGGTTTTACTGTACAACAGTGATGTATATCTTAGAGTGATGTGATCAATAGACTCAAGGCGGTATTCAGACTTCCATAAAGTGTATGCGATTATCAACCCTGGTTTGCGAAGACTTAAATGAAGTTTCTAGGCTACTAACTTGTGAAAAATGAGCTGGTCTATCCCGAAAAGGAAACCACCACCATGTAATTTAATATGAAAAGCTAACCTAGGCTCTTTACCCTTCAACAATTAATTTATGTTTCCCTAGAGGACTAAGGCCTATAATGTATTCAGAATCTGCCAAGGCACTGGGTCTATAATTTATTCAATTAAGTATTAATGTATTCAGAATCTGCTAAGGGACTGGGTCTATAATTTATTCAATTAAGTATTAATGTATTCAGAATCTGCTAAAGGACTGGGTCTATAATTTATTCATTTAGGTATTCACATATTCAGAATCTGCTAAGGGACTGGGCCTATAATTTATTCGATTAATTATTCATTTATTATTAAGAATCTGCTAAGGGACTGGTTCTATATTTTATTCAATTTAGTATTGATACATTCAGAGTCTGCTAAGGGACGAGGCCTATAATCCATATTAATTAATTCAATTAATCTCTAGGGAAAAGGCGTCATGTTGCTATATCATAATGACATCACATCGCATTTTTTATGACAAAATTTTTTTGTTTTTGTTTTGCTTTTTAAATTTAACTGACAAAACTTTTGGAATTGAGTATTTCTCAATTAAATTCAATATGCCAATAAAGATTTTTGATTGTAAAATAAATTTTTAAGACCTCAGTTTCATCTAAGAAATTAGTGAGAAATGTTTCTGCCTAATAATGTTTTAATAGTTATTTTTTAGGCTTTGGTAACTGTAATGTTTGGGTAGTAAAAGATATATTTTTGTGTTTTTTTTGTTTTCTTGGTTTTGCTAAATTCTTGGCATAATATTTTTCTTTCTTTTTTCTTTAGTTTATATAGTTTTTTTGGGTTTTTATTTTTTTCTTGGTTCTGTTGAACTCTTGGTATATTTTTTCATTTGTTTTCTTTAGTTTATGTGATTTTCTGTTGTGGTTTTTCATTAAAGATTTTTATTATGTAAATTTTATATGAAACTGAGGTCTTATTTTGCTGGTGAAAAAACTTATTAAATTACAATCCTATGATAGAACCTTGTATATCAGTCTAGCCAAACATCATTGGACTCAGGATTAGGTCACCTAGAAATGATTCAACTTGTAGTCTTCCCAGGTTGATAATCTATTTGTATGAAAGTCTGAATGGTGTCTTATGCAAGTCTATTGAGCACAYCACCCCAAAGTTATCATTGTTGTACACACCCATGAATAGTGAGGTGTGATTATCTCTGCTCTTACTCACACTAACCTGCACAGTGTACTGGCCTATTACGCCATCAGCGCACTCCCATGAAATCTGCAGAGAGCCATCACCTGGTATCCTTACCTACAATATTCACCACCAGAGCAGTCATCTGATCACAGCCTCAAGGTTAGACTCTGCCGAGAGCAGCAATGTTGTACCGCCTTTTGTGGTTTCCTGGCCTGGTGGGGCAGCTTCTGTTTGGTGCTGGTAGGACCTCGTGGGAGGTATCAAGTGTATTTCATTTTTCTGGTGTACAAATAATAAATGATAATAATATTAGATATAGGAGAGTGTTTCTAACTAGTGAAGGGTTCCCAGTAGATTTTGAACAAAAATCTTAAACCAACAGCCAATATTGATTTGATTGAAATTGGAAAAATAGAAAATGGACAAAACAGAAAATTACTTAAAATTTGTTATATTTTAACTGAGAACCCTTGACTAATTATGAAATGTTTTTTTAAGATAACAGTGCTCGACACTAGCTTATTCAGATACTAGGCAATGGCCTAGATTATAAAATAATTCCCCTTTGTAACTTTGGAAAAACCCTAATAGCCTATGGCAGGGACTAGCAAGAACTAATTTTCATTAGCCCAGAGCAAAGATTTAGGAGTCCCAGACTAGTATAGTGGACTTTCCTTAGTTAGTGTCGAGCACTGGATAATCCAATAATTAGATGATTTGGAGTAAGAATCTTAAAATGTTTTGGCAAAACACTCTCCTATATCCAATATCTGAGGCTAGAGGACTGGTAAAAAAGGCATTTCCTCGTCTTCAATAATTGATGAGTGATAAGTTTTGATGTTTTGAAGTTTCTCATGACTTCATTTTCAATAAATGCATTTTTATCCTATAAAGTCACCCATGCCATTAAAACATTTCTTAGTAATTTTTTTTGAATACTGAATCATTTAAAGTTGTAGTTTTTGAACAAATCAATCTTATTATTTTTCCTATTACTTAATCTTACTCTCATTGCAGTATGTGTGCAGAAGTAGTTTTGAATCAATTGTAAACCATACACTGAACAATCCTAAAAAAATTGCAGGACTCAAAATAGCAGCTAATATGCAATCTCAATTTTCTGATTGTAAGTGAGAAAAAATGATTTTCAAATACAATTTTGAGAATAAAATGGTAACAGAAATATTACTGTAAAATTCACTTGTCCTGCACAAACATTTGTGCTATTTTGAGCCCTGCATGATACCAGTCCTCTAGCCAAAAACATAATTTTTACTTTTCCTAGTACTAGGTTTTTTGAAATCTTAACTAATGCTAGTCTCTTACTCCTAGGCCTAGATAAAGCTCTGAAATTCTTTCAAGTTCATCTTCAATTTTTGGAATTCTAAAGAATTCTTCTTTGAAATGCTTATTTTTTGGTTGTGTTCTCTTTAACATTTTTGTTCATACAAGAAATACTTTTCTTCTAGGCCTAGGTTAGGTAGTAACTTTCTCTTTTTTTCAAATTTCTGGAAAACTATTTTTTTTTGGAAATTCCTGGATGATACTAGATTTCAATCTATAAACCATGTTACTCAATTTGATGGCATGATATCCTTATCCTTGGTAGAAGATTAATGTCTTCAGATGATTCCTGTCTTCATTGACTTGATCTTGATGGTGCTGCATCATCTCACAAGGCTTTGCAGCACGACAGCTTGTTATAACTGAATATGACAGATTTGGTGTAGCTAGAAGAAAAAAAACCAAGACTGTCAAAATTTTGTTCCTTGTTTTGAGTAGCAAATCTGCTAAGATCAAATTGCAGAGTTATCCATTATATTATGGATGCCGTAGTGTTGAAAGCACTCCTCTCTCAACAGTGCAACCCAGGTTCGATTCCCAGGTTCAGTGTTGTATGTGAGTAGAGTTGCTAACTCCTTCTCTCCTGTGCTTCCAGGGTTTTTATCTGGGTGCTCAAGTTTTCTTCCCTTTGCAAATATCAACTTCAAAATTCTAACTGGAATTCAGTGGATGAAGAGCGAAATGAAATGATATTGTTAAATCGAATTAATTTTTTATATATTTACTGCTAGTCTTAGAATATGTCTCACATCAAGACTTTGATGTTTTTTTCATCAAGTTTGGATTAACCCTTAGCTAATCAGAATTCCATTYGCTGGGATCAGTTGCAAATCAAGTTGAGMATYCAATGCTAGATATACATATYCCATTGCYATGTATGTGAGGCACATGYCAATATTAACATTATATATCCAATAGATAAACTTACTTGTCTGTCATCTATCTGCTGGCTAGAACTTGACAGCATCATAACTATGACAACATAATGCTTGGCTAAAAAGCTGACAAGCTGTTGAAAAAAGTCAAAAAATCTGATAAGAAACCTGAGTGTTTACTAAGCTAAGTTCATATTAATATCTCTAAGACAAGCCCTAGTGGATGAGATTTCATGTGCAGTCGGTGATCGCACATGAGACTGGCCTTTATGAGACTCTATTCTTCAAATAACCTTGATGTAGCTTTATCTCTGATCAAGTCATCCTCATCAGTATTCTTCATGTAAAAAGACATGCAATGTTTAAAATATGAGCGGCCGTGTTGTATCGGCTATGTGATTAAGAGGTGAGTGATGGTATGGCCAATATGACACAGATGCAAAAATTGTAAACTTGTGAAAAGCCATGAATAATTCAAAAATCCTTTGGGACATTTTGAATTCATATGCTAATTAGATACAACCACTAGTGCTGTATCAGAACAGTATACATCCACTAGTGATTATATCTAACTAGCATTTTCATTTTCAGGTTTGTATCAGGTTTACATGATATTCATGTGACCTGATTTCTAATGCTGGATTGGGTTAGACCCTAATTAATTATTCATGAATTTTGAAAGTGCCATTCTATCCCTTGCATACTAATGAAGAGGATTTTATCAGGTATAAAGGTCCATGCACATGATGTGTGTGGTCAATAAAACACTATGTATGTCACTATGACGTCACAGCTGGTTTATAAGGGGGACAAAATGGTAAACAGCAATAGGAATTAGGACAGCATTTTTTGCAGCTGAATTGATAGCTCTGATATTTCTTGTTTTCAAAAATTTCGTAAACTGGTATTTATCCTACAATATATGAGCTGAGTCCAAAATGGAACATGGGAAATGACATAATTATATTATAATTTACTCATTTGCACCATCCATGCAGTCGGTTTAGAATGCCTAACGCATATTAAAAACAGTGGATGATGCCACGGGTCGCCGGTCACAGCATGCATCTAATTAGCATACTTCCCATGTGCCATTTCAGTCTCAGCTTCTATGTTTTATGTTTCTGAACCCGACAATGATTCTTCAATTGAGTGTATTGTGTTTGGTGACTATTATTACTTTTCTAAGTCCTAAAATATTTTTTTCACAGTTTTCTTTGTATTAAGTTTGCTGTTTTGTTCCCCTCCCACAACTATGATTCTTAGTGTTAAAAAAAAAGATTGTTTTCATGTGACGTCATAATGAAATAAAGCATGAGTTTTAACAAAAGAAATTGCCTATATTTTGAGTGCATCAACCAAGTTATGGATACAAGTTTTAATCAATACTTGGCTTGGAAATTTTTGGTTTTCCGGCAAATATTGTGAGGGATGTGTTTTATATGGGTAAACTTACTTGTTTGTAATGTGTGCAGACTGTTCAGGCCTTGACAACATCATCACTATGACAACATGATGCTTGGCCGAAGATGCAGACAACCTGTTAAAAAAGTCAAAGACATTGATTTCAGTTAACATGTCATTCCCTTGAGTATCATTTCTTTGTTTAACAGAAGTGCATGAGAAGACACTGCATGAATATGGGGACAACTCAGTTGTCTCCATATTCATGCAGGTGTCTTCTCATTCACTTAAAAGAGAGAGAGAGAGAAAAAAAGAGAAATTGTATTGGCACATGGTGTGAAATGGGAGAACATTACATCTAGGTAGAGAAGTGTATAATCAGCAGAGATTAAATAATGACCGTCGGTCACTGGTCATGATCACCAGTAAAATAAGTATTTAGCTTAGTCAATACTTGTTTCTAGTTACACATTACTGGTCGAAATGGCCGCCAAGGAAAAGATTCGACAAGTTCCAATTTTGGACAGACATTGTCCAATGATCGACTACTATTTTACTGTGCGACTACACCAACCAAGGCCAACCAGACAAATTTTCATACAAATTAGCCAATCACGATTGAGTATTTAAACAATAGAACCTGTACAAAATTTCACATTTTTCTCTTTAAAATCATATATTTTACTTTATACGAGTGTGTGTATTATCAGAAGTGAACAAGAAACAGTTTAAAACCCAGAATTCACTAATTCATTATGCAGCATTAATAATGTGACTTGTGAATTTGAATTGAAATTAGTTTGGGTGGCCTTGGTTGATATCGTCACACTGTAACCCTGATGAAAAACATTTGTTTTTCTAAAATTTCTCGTAAATAGAGCAGAGCACTATTTCAGCAAACCAAGTGTACCATAATCTATTTTTCCGCAAAACCTTTTCTAACTGTTGCCAATTAATTGATTTATTGCTTATAATGAATATAACAGAAAAAACTATTTTGGAATGGATGCATGCTTATATATTCTATATTATAACTAATAGCTCAACTTACTTGTCTGTCATACATCTGCTGGCCAGAACTTGACAATATTATCACAACTCTGACAACCAACTGCAAAACTTGTCAAGCTGTTGAAAAAGTCAAAAATATCTGTTTTAGAAAACTGAATCATTCAGATAATTACTAGCGGTTACTAGTTGGGACTGCATTGGTGTGTTGAATACAACAAGTGAATAGGAATGACTAGTGGTTACTAGTTGGGACTGCATTGGTGTGTTGAATACAACAAGTGAATAAGAATGACTAGTGGTTACTAGTTGGGACTGCATTGG